TCAATGCAAGGGAAATGAAAGCTTACTATCAGAGTGTAGATACAATGGATGGGATGCATATGGTAACCTCTGTCAGTTCTTTGATCATCAGGCCAGTGTAATTTGCATTCCTCCAGGTATTGATTTGAAGTGTTTGGAATTTTCCATAGCCTTAATAATTTGCTGTACACAATGTTTTCTCTCTATCTAATCAAGCAGGAAAGTACCATTCCATATACTATCGTTCATTAGTAAAACTCTACTAGTATACTAATGCAAATGAGACAATCTGATTGGCTGAGCTACTCGTACACTATCAGCCATTATAGTTCACCACTAAATTTTCTTTGATTCTGATTGGCTTAAATCGAACACGTGACGTGATAGTGTTCATCCGCGGAGAGACACTGTCAGGCAATAGTGCCCGTCGGGCAAAAAACCCCGGATCGATAGTACCCGCCCGAGCGAAAAACAACCGTTTTGTGCAGTTTTGAGCTAAACTGTTGAAAGAATAAATTTAAAAATAGTGAGAAATTACTCTCTATCAATTCTTTCATAACATATGGGCATGCACGAAGTTTGGAACGAAATATTTAATGGCAAATTCCTGTAATAAATGCGAATGAAAGAGCACTAAACAATTTACGGAAAGATCGGTAAACCGACACAAATTCGTCCAAAAAATGACAGCCTGTTTACACCACAAGTTTAAGCTTAGCCTATTCGGTATTGTTACCTTGTATTTCCAAGAGGCTTGTCAATTCCAGCTTGAATCAGCACAATAAATATCGGTTATGAAGCTTAAATACGGCAGTTCGTTTGCCCGACGTAAACAAGTGAAATCTTCGACTCCGTTCAGTTGTCCGTTTGACTTGTAAAATGAACATAATGTTCAACTCCACAATTATTTCAGATCTTCCCATTTTGTGCTAAATCATTTGCACAATTTTCCAGAATATATGAAACTTTAGAAGAGATTGAGCGAAGAAATAATCCGAAGAAGAAAACTTTTTGTCCAACCTCGTACCCAGGGTCTACTCCGCTTTCAAGATGGCGGCTGGGCGCGGAGAAGACCCTGGCCCACGCTGTGAACTGCTTTCTTTTGATTCAACTTGGCGACCCGCGCCAGGTTTTGCCGCCGTTTTTCATACAAATCATACTTCATTTAGATGGAACTGAAAAATCACTCAGTCGATTTATAACTTTTGAAAAAGTAATACCGAAGTTTAACCTAAAGTTTTGTACGTATTTACGAGACAAAAGTTGAAATGCAAAACTATTTTTGAAGCTCCAAGCGTTGCAGTGTGTAATTAGAAATCGAAATAAATAAATTCATGTCGTTTTCAGTTTTTAGGCCGCCGCGCGGAAAATTTAGTGGTGAACAATAACGACAATAGAGTGTTTTTGTCTCGGAACTATCGGTCTGATAGTTGCCCTTGGAAATTTTATGTTCTAAAAAACTAGCATATTAGCCCTCGAACTTCGTTCTCGGGCTAATATTTGTTTTTTAGAACATAAAATTTCCGCGGGCAACTATCAGCCGATAGTTCCTCGACAGAAACACTCTATTGTTACATTAGTGTGCAGTGGCTGGAGGTCGTCTACAAAATTGCGGTTTCTTCTCGTTTCTCCGAAGTTTCGGAAGAAGATTTAGAGTTAATACTAGACAATTGTTATGATTTTTACTAATACGGCCTCATCAACTATCACATCATAGAAATCTCGAGCTCATAATCTAATTGTTAATTAATTTTATGTATTACAAGTTCTATTATAGTAGAGTAAATTAACTTTTTCTTGAGCCTGGACAATATTTTCTTCAGGAAGATGGTTGCGAGAAGAGTTTCCTTGCATTAGCATTATATTTTGTGAAGCTATCATTACTAACTACAATTATAAGGTTCCTGGAAATGCGACTAGATAAAATTTCCCCACTATTGTCACTATTTGTAGTTTGTGTACTGTAGCACACTATAGCCGCCAAAATTTCTAATTGCCAATTTTCCTTCAACTCAAAGTATCTCCACATTATTATCATACTAAACTAAAAACAAAATACACGAGAAAGAAGTTGATCAATACTCTCCTTCTACAACAAAATAATGTTTAGCTACCAAGATACAATTTAATGTACTTTCAAAGTAGCATCGTGCAAAATATGTCCCTTTTTCTTTTTTTTCTTTTTTTTTTCTTTTATTTTTCTTTTATTTTTTCTTTATTTTTTCTTTTCTTTTATTTTTTATTTTTATTTTTTTTGTCCCTTTTTCTTAATAACTCTATAGCTGCCTTGGGAAGACCGGAATTTGTCTTTAGTGACTTAGAAAGCATTGTCATGACGTGGAATTCCTCAAAGTCTTCCAAGTACACCGTGCAGATATGGAACAACATGAGTGCAGTATGGGAGGCTACACACTGCGAGGAAAGCACTATGGCCGATTCCTGTGTGACAGAGAGTCCTAGAGCCACTGTGATGGACTTAAAACCATCCACTATATACTACTTTAGGATTTACGGCAGCAAAACGGCCATCAGTGCCCCGTCAGAACCAATGAAAACCAAGGAACTTGGTGGGTTGACAGTTTTAGAATACAAACATAAGTTGGCAAGATGCAAAAGTCAGTCGGTAATTGCAAGATATTTCCGTTAGCTTCGATTATTGGTGACATTCGGGCGATTGAGTTTTATTGAATGAATGCCCAAAGTGCCGGTTTAATGTCCGTTAAACTGTACTTGTACTAACGTGCAAGGTCACTCTTTGTTTAAATATTTGGCATATATTTTAAACTGTTCGGGTCCTTTTGAGATATAAAAATTCAGCTTGGTAGCGAGGCTGAGAGGACACAAACAATGGAAATTGAAGAAGCATGTTTATTATTTCTTTTGTTTGTGTCCTCTCAGCCTCGTTATTAAGCTTAATTTAATATCTCGAAAGAACCCTATTGTACAAGCTGTGTTTTTCTTGCTTCAATTACATTCAGATTTAGTTCAGAAATAAATGGGCTCTGGGATAGAATGCAATCGAACAATAAAGAAAATTTTCGTTCGAATGCAGTCGAATTCCTGAATAGTTTGATTGATGATTTGATTGGCGAATGTTCGATTATAAATAAATAAGCAGCTTTAGTCTTTTTGGTGGTGTCTATTGCATTTTATTTAAAGTTAAAAAGTTAAAAAAATAGAAAATAATTATTATTTGTTTTTAGATCCACCTGGTAGGCCGTTCCTCGTGGCAAACACAATGAACAGCATTACTATCGGCTGGAATTCACAGTCCTTGCATAATACGATGTACACTGTTCAGATTAATGACGACTCTTCGTGGGTGGACGCAAGGTGTGGCCCTGAGAGCGTACTGCCAAACCACTGCACAGTGAAAGCTTCTGCTGCCCGTGTGACTGGGCTTAAACAGAACACTGCGTATCGCTTCAGAGTTAACACTATTTTTAAAGATGTCAAAAGTGACTTCAGCCAACCATCAGACCCATTACGAACTGCAGGTGATGTTGAAACAAGTGATTCTTTGTCTTGTTGTGACGGTCTTGAAAGCCTGACTTTTTAATTGCAATGGTCGGGATTTTTCCAGGCGAAAGCAAGTCCACTCGAACGGTATCTGACTCCGTACCCCGTCGTCTCTATCGAGAATGAAATTGTAAATCCTACAATTTCATCCTTTGAAACGACTGGGAACGGGTCAAGAATTTTAAAAACGTCATAGAAAATGTAGATGAACGATTTTTTTTTCAAATCTTTTTCACATTTTACTTATTTTCGTTGTCTAATAATGTCTTTTAATGGTGTTTAATGTCTACATCTAGGATCGGATGTCGACGCAATTGTTCGTATTCTCATGTTTCTACTTTTCGTGCCCATTTCAATACCGTCAATTCTGGTAAAGGTACTTTTCACTCAGTCATATAAAATCAAATACATATTTCGATGTATTGCAGACGTGCCGGTAAATCACTTTGGAAACTGCATTTATGTCATCATTACATGACATGGATGCTATTTTCAGTTTTTGTTTCTAATTGTATGATGCAAAAACCACGCATCGCTAACACTTAGAAATATAAAAGGCTCGACTTACTCGTGCTGAATAATGGGATAATGAGTGTCCATTTTCCACTTATTCAGGACTAAGTGTTCCACATAAAGAAGTGTTTAATTTCAACACTTCTATATTTGGAATATGTACCTTTGTGTAACATACACCTTTCTTATTGTTCATAATTAAGAACAAAGATTGAGGTACAGTTACGTCCGAAATACAAACCCGTTTGATACTAATTTATTTTCGGGTAAATACGGCAGAGTATTTTTCAATCAACCATATATTTCAACCTAAATATTTTAGTAAAAAACGTTAAGCATGCTTTGGTGATGCAGGTAAATGATGAACGGTAAGACAGGTCTTTTCTTTGGTAAGGCAGCAATTGGTGACTGGTATATTACTTTGTATGCATTGATCAATCAATAATGTGCGTCCTTTTAGATTCTTTTCTTTCAGGTTTTCTTGTTTCGTCTTTCAGATGAATTTTGCGTTGGTGGCTGAAAATCACTTTAATGTACAATTGTTTTGTACGCCTGCTTCAGTACACATCCAAGTGTTCTGCACATGCAATTTTCCGCAAGTACTGACTGAAATGGATCAAAGCATTGCCGGTGATTAGTGATTTAGCAATAAATTCTATTTCTTGTAACATTACCTTGGATTAGTCACTGCACCGTTCCTTTAAATAATGCAACATTATGTATATAAATCCAGGACTTATCGAAATTACTTTTATGTTATTTAAAACAAAATAAGCCAACAGCCTTTCTACTGATCTGTCTGCTTATTGACCTCCAGAAATGTAGGCAGTGACAGAAGCTACATACCGTAAAAGCTCTATTTAGCCCCCTCTCTATTAAGCCCCCCTTTCTAATAAGCCCCCCCCCCCCCCCTTCTTGAGGCCTAAAATTAAATAAGCCCCCCGGGGGCTTAATAGAGCTTTTGCGGTACTTGGGGAAAAATGTCCGAGTTCTCCCAATAGGAGTCGAACAAATGGCCTTCCGCGCACCGGTCGGACGTTCTACCACTGAGTTACAGGAGACTCGTGGAAGCTATAACTAGGCTCAAATGTGACAAACTTCCTACATACTGCTACGGCGAATCTCCTGTAGCTAAGTGGTAGAGCGTCCGCCCAGACCAGTGTGAGGAAGTCATAGGTTAGACTCCCCTTGGGAGAAATCGCGCGATTGTTTCCAGGGGGTCAACGTCATGGGATGGGGCAGAGTTCTCCTTGGGAGTGTGGCTTTCTGACCACGTGACTTTCGGCTCATCTCGTCTCAACCTGGGGGGAGGGGATATGGGAATTTGGCCTTTGCTGCGATGGTGTTTAAGTTTATGCAATGTCAACTGGCAGGGTAATAGGCTCCTGCAACTGGTTATAAGCTTTATTGGGGTTAGTGGCTGTGTTGACGGCCTAAGGACCCGTTGAACGTATGATTTGTGTAAGGATACCAGCTGCTGGCACTGTCTGTGGGCCCTTCGGGGGTGTTTCAGGTTGCAGGTGGGAGGGGAGGGTGGGGAAGAGAATGTTTGAAAGCTGCTTGACTGAAGTTGCAGGCCAGCTCAGCATGACTGAATGCATTTTATTTTTCAGCGTGGTTACAAGCCTAGGACTACAGCGGCACTGAAATAACAGAGGCGGGGAGGCGGGATGACACACGTACAAAGTGAGATTGACAAGGTAACAGTCAGTCAGTGTTGTTTGATGAGGAAGAGTGTGTCTTATCGATGTTTTTTATGCTAGACAATATCAGCAAATGTATTTTCTGCGTTGATACATTTCGATGCTTTTATTTTGTGACTTGTTGACAATTAGTTGAATAATAAAACAATAATCTCACGCGATGTACGAAATATCGAAATTTAGCCAACTTGGCCTACGGCCTCTTCGGCGATATTCCGCGCGATTTCGAAGAAAAATATATAAACAATAGCCTCCATTTGTGATGGCGAGGAAATATGCTCGTATATTTGTCCGCGGACATTATCTGTTCCGAGAAGCGAACAGTTTTCCGAGAGCGAAGCTCAAGGAAAACTGTGAGCTTCGAGGAAAAGATAATGTCCAAGGACAAATATCCGAGCATATTTTTGAAGCCAAATGGAGGCTATTGTAGTTATTATCCTTCAAATATTTTTTCACAAGGCAGCTCTGCTTGCCGTGGAAGATCTCGGTCGGCCAAGCTGTTAAACATCAAAATAATTATGTTGGCGTTCAAAAATATTTCTTCTCTGTTCAAACAATCAGTTTTATTTAATTTAGCAATTTATTTGAGACGGAAACTGAACCTGCGAACGTGAAACGCAAATTTTCAAAACTGGGGAATATCACTTGGGGAATATCACCCGGATATTCCCCAGTTTTGGCTGCGTCACGTGACGTGTTTAGACCAATCGCGCGCGAGAAAAATATTTGATGGATTATAATGTTGAATATTTTTACCGTAGGAACTAGTCCACCTAGTCCTCCTGATCTCGCGCAACCCAAAACATCGTCTGGTTTTCTGGTTTTCGGGAAAGAAAAGCGTTGAATAATAAATCTCTTGTAAGACATTTTAGTGCCGGTTGTTCGCCGAATAGGATCGCCAAAATACAGCAAGACCCATAAAATATAAAGATACTACACACTAAATTGTCTAAATAAACAATAGCCTCCATTTGGCGAGGAAATATGCTCGGATATTTGTCCGCGGACATTATCTGTTCCGAGAAGCGAACAGTTTTCCGAGAGCGAAGCTCAAGGAAAACTGTGAGCTTCGAGGAACAGATAATGTCCAAGGACAAATATCCGAGCATATTTTTGATGCCAAATGGAGGCTATTTTAGTTATTATCCTTCAAATATTTTTTCACAAGGCCGCTCTGTTTGCCGTGGAAGATCTCGGTCGGCCAAGCTGTTTAAAAACAACAAAATAATTCTGTTGGCGTTCAAAAATATTTCTAGTCTGTTCAAAACAATCAGTTTTATTTAATTTAGCAATTTATTTGAGACGAAAACTGAACCTGCGAACGTGAAACGCAAATTTTCAAAACTGGGGAATACCACTTGGGGAATATCACCCGGATATTCCCCGGTTTTGGCTGCGTCACGTGACGTGTTTAGACCAATCGCGCGCGAGAAAATTTTTTGATGGATTATAATAAGAGATATAAACTTGTAAAGTAATATGTATATACCAGTTCAGCGACCTTGCCATCTTCAGCAATATGATTGGTCCGCTATCTCGGGATATTCAACACAACAGTATAGTAGAACCCCGCTAACTCGAACTCGGTTAACTCGAACTCCCCGCTATCTCGAACTCAAACCCATTCCCCTTATTTTTCAGTCATTTACTATCGGCTAACTCGAACCAAGGTATTAAAATAAGCCATTTTTATTCCTAGACTGGTAAAAAGCTTGTTCACAAACTGTTAGTAAATGTCACGTAGTGCTACTCGTGGATTGCAAATTGTGTACATCTTTCATTCCAGAAATATGTATTTAAAACGACGCAACAAACATATGAAAGAAGAAGAAAAATTAGTGCACCTTTGAGGACTGGAGGGTCAGTTTCAAAGCTGTTCGTAGAAATGTCGGATTCCGCAACTAAATTGAGTCGAGTTATTTTATTAGGACTGCTCAAGTGCTCTTTGGTCCCTGACTGATGTACATGCCACTCCTGTATCAACTGCATTCACTATAAATTATAAATTTCGTTTAAAATTCAGCACTAAGGCATTTAAATTCTGGAGACTCGATTCATTTGCACCTTCGACAATATTTTCCACCTGAAGTAAGACTTCGAAACTGTCTAACTGTTTCATAGTTTTGAAAGCATTATGGAGCAGTTATCTGTTAGTATTATAAATATGCGTCCCAAACAGATTAAATAAACTGGAAGTACTCCAATACTTGATCCTGAAGACTGTCACGCTTTGAGCGTCGCTCTTGCCGATTTTTAAAATACGTTTTTTTTTGTGTGTGTGTGTGTGTATGTGTGTGTGTGTGTGTGTGGCTTAGACTGGAGGTCGCCGTGTTGGTAAAATTTATACTAAAACAATTATTATCCTCAATCTCCATGAATAGTGGCTCAAACTGATATTTACCTCGCTGCGAAATATTCTGCCCCTATTCACCTGGATTTCGGAGAAGAATTGTTAAAGCAGAAAAATGAATAATGAATATCGCCGGACCCGAAAGAGGTGAAGAATAATCATATTCTCGGATAGACAGCTGGAAATAATGAATAGTTACTGATCAGTCTTTTTGTCTCTTTTATGACTGAGGAATACACATGCTACAAACCGCATGCAAAACAAGTATCATTGCTAGTAGCAAAAGCTAAATTAGAGTTCTAGCAGGCCAAAGGGGTTGTCATAGTTTCATGTACCACGTGTTTGAGACAAATATTGTAAATATCACTGTACTCGAGTCTTTTTGTATCACTGCCCTCGCTGAAAATAAAACTATAAGTCCAATGAGTTAAAAGGTAAACTGTTCTAAAGCTGCGGTTACAAAACTTTGTAATCAGTCCACACTTGCGACTCATCATAACACATATTTAACAAAACAAGTTTCCAGGATATATGTTCAGCATCAAGGAATGTCATAGCATGTTATTATCAACAGGTAAATTAAAACATACTTTCCTTTTATTTAAGTTTCCACATACTGCAAGTTTGTTTAACGTTTCAAAACAACTCTTCTAATTCTTATTGTTTCGTTTTTGTTTTAAACCCGAACAAGTTTCAGATCAGGGTATGTTGCAAGAATGTCGGGTACGTTTCCCTATGAAAGTGCTCAGCCACAATTAACAAGATGCAAATGTATGTAAAAATGTATCGTGTCATCATTCCATGTTTTATAGAACAAAAGAAATTAAAACGGTCAGGATGATTCTAGTAATAAAGGCAATTGCTTTATCACACGTAGTTATTGTGCTGTTTGTCTTGAGAGAGAACCTGAGTGACGACTTTGGCTTCTAAGTAAGTAATGTTTTACACCGTGTTAATGTCCTATTTCACACTATCCGCTCTCGTCACACTATTTATTTTCATTTACACAGGGCCTACATTGATAGCAGTTGTTCATAACTGAAGTAGTTACCCTGTTTAAATATGTTTTATTATTATTATTTCTTATTATTTCTTCTGTAATTATATCTTGCTATATCCTTTTGTGTAAAAAAAAAAAGCATTCAGTACAGGGAGTTAAAACAAATACGGCTGAGAGGTGGTGATGATGAGTTAACTTTATATATTCCTTATCAAGCATCTCGCGATGATCTCGTAGATCCATTCAGTTTACCAGTATCAGGAATTTTTTATAGCTAATATGCAAAGACAACGCCATTTCGCCAATAAAGTTGGACATTTACCGTTTTGGTTCACGATTTCCGTAAAATCCACCTTTTTACAGGCCAAGAAACATGCGTCAGGACGTACATAGCCATTCTTTGTTCTGCCGTTGGCGTCGTTGGCTTAAAGTTTAGTTTGCTCTTAGAGCCACGTTATAGTAGGGCACGGGAAATGATGAAATGAAAGTCCGATGAGAGCGCTCTCTGTTTAAATAGAGGTTCCAAACTGAACAGATTGTAACTATTGAAAACACTTTTCTACGGTATTTATTACATTAATTTTATTAAAACGTTGGATGTTGTAAAATGTTTTTATTATAAGTAATATGCTTTGTAGTCCAGTTCCTCGACAGCTTTTTATACTTCGGTGATGCTTAGAAGAAGGAAACTTGCATGCGCATGCTCAACTTTGACCAACCAAAAACGAGTATAGTTATTTTGTCATTTCTTTCCTATTTTAAAGTTAGTTAAGAGGGCGAGTATTGCCCATACATTTTTGCGTGCTTGCCCACAATATCTCAAAAATATATTCACATACTTGAATTTCTAGAGGCCCTCAGCTAAAAGCGTCAGTTACGATCTCGCTACATTAAATTTTAAACAAAAAAATCCCAAAAACCCACATTTCTTATTAGTAAAGATTATTAAAAAATAAATTACATTGAGAGAAATAGATCCATGCTATTTTTTGTATAGTATAAAACATT